ATCTCCTTACATCACCCACTAACTGCTATGAAAGAATAAAACGAACCAGGCAAATGACAGAGCAGTATTTAGCAGAATGAATGATTTTTACTGAGGCTGATTTTCTGATGGAACCAGATAAACATCAGATCATCACTTCTAAATCTGCTTCAGTTGCAGCAGATGTAAAAACTTCAATGAACTTTCTTTAGTGAATCTCCATGTAAAAGCTGCCTTCTGCTTTTAAACCCGCTCACCAGGAATCAAACAAGCTGCATGGTGCGTTTCAATTAGAGTCTTTCATGACAATCAATTAGGGAGCACCCCCTGGATCTCCCCAGGGGCCTATAATCATCACACACCGTCTGCTCACGCGGGTGCTGGGGAGCCCCACCCACCAGTAGCAGGGACGCTTCAGTGCAAAATACAGAGCCACTGGGAGCCATGAAGAGCGATTCTGGTTTATTTCAAGACTTTAAACTCAAAATTATTAAATAATTAGAATTAAATACATTTTCCCTCCATTTATATTATTTATTCTACATTCCAAGATATTCATTTGATTTCATTTGTTTCACATTTGGTAAATAAATGTCTCTAGGTTTTCATCCAAAACAAAACTCAAACAGTATGGCCTGCACTGGCGGGAGGTATATTTACCCAAGTACAATACTTAAGTGCAATTTTGAGGTACTTTTACTTGAGTATTACCACAACTTTACACACTCCATTTTTCTCTACGACATTTGTCTGACAGCTGAGAACACATCTCACATAAGCTGCTTTAAGACATGCACTGAGGGCTGTATGTGGAAACCAGTTTTTTTTAAATATATTGATTCCTAGAACTTTTTGGGCATAATTCTGTAACTATAAAGTTTTTAATTGAAGGCAACAATAACCAATCTAGCACAATGCAGAGTTCCAGTCTAAATTCTGTTTCTAATGGTCCACCATAGTAAAAAAAAAAGACTCCTTAAAGGTTAATTTATTCTTTTTACAATAAAAATGTCCAGATATTGATCAATATAAAGATATTGAACATTGACACAAAATACGGACAATTAACTATTTCATGTCACAATTGTAGTGGCAAGTGCATTACAAGGAAGAAAACTTCAGCCTGGACAAAGAAAAGCAAGTTACAGAGTTTCTTCTTTTACATGAATTATAAATCCACCGCCGCCGAGCCCGACTTTTTTTCAGTTAATAGGTT